AGATAAAGTACGTTTGGAAGTTTATAAATTATGCATTACATTGTAGCACCGACTACATTGACTCGAAGCAATGCCCCGATAACATTTCGTGGGGCGACACACGACTCGCAGTTGTTTATGCGCTCCTTGCATGATAACCCCCCTTAAAGACAACTACTTACGCCAATCTACTCCCGGGAACTCGTAAAGAGAAACTCTTTTATCCAAATTACTATCGGATTACTTTTTATTTCACTCGAATAACCCACTCCGGATAATTAGTGATAACAGTTACGGTCGACAGAGGCGCGAATGATACTTTGTCGCGAATTTTTCCGCGCCTAAATTGCAAAGGTAACAGCATGGAGCCAGCCGTGTTTATTAACAAATTCATAAACATTGACTTGCGAATGAAACGGTCGCGACTTGTACGTCCAAAACGTGAACGAGCAAACACGTTCATATTTTCATGGGATTCAAATAAAAATAAAGTGGATGACCAGCGGCGGTCTAATTTAATATGAGCGGGGACAACTCGTCATATGGATGATGTACCTGCCTTTGTTTTATTGCTTAGACGGGTGACTGAATACAAAAATGTTTGAGCGGGCGGACGCGCTTGTCAGCTGTTAAACAGTTTTATTATTGCCGGACGAACATCGCACAGCCTATTTGCATAATTGAACGGCCACTTGGAGGCACTAGCATTGTTATACTCTGCCGTTCCATTTGTCAGATTCGCCGTATCATTTATGCATGTTGGTCATAACGAGAACCGCGCCGTTTTTCTGGACTATTCATTATTTCGCCTTTTGTGTTGTTTGTTATCCAGCGGCCACTCTTATCCTAAGAATGGTGGACGTAGAAAATATGTAATACAATCCCGACTTCCCTCTCTATTGACACAAACAACCGCATTTTTGTTACATGAAGTTGAAAGGGCTTAATCTGGAATTTGGTCAGGTAAAACAAACATTTGTTTTTTGTTGTCTTCCAAAAAGTCAAGGGGATCGCGTAGGGGTAACTGTACTGGTTAAAGCGTATGATAAAGCAGAATTTTTTCATAAAAATAATGCAACAACTTGTGAGGTGTCTTTAGAATCTTTTATCAAAAAGTTCTTAGATTGATCCATCTTAGTAGAAGCTACTTGATGCCCCGAGGAATAAAAACGTAGCGTTGTATTTAAATAGCTCGCAGAGAACACGAAAATAAGGTTAAGTGATCATTGAAACGCGATTGAGCGTCGTAATGAACGATTGTTTGTGAAGTCTAAGTTGAATCACTGGCCTCGACAGTCCGATCAGATGATTGGTCAATAAAACCGCTATAAAATGTTCCAGTGGCATACGTTATCTTAAAGGCATAAATGTTTAACAGCATGGCTACTGAGCTCCATGGCTTGCGATCCGATTTTAAACTGATGACTTTTAAATGCTTTTACGGTAATAGCTACTTAACGAAACTGCTGGCCACTTAAGATGTTATTTTTACACTAGCTTAAGTACCAATGTGGTTTTACTATGACTTCAGTTCCATATTGTTGTGTTTTTGAATATTTTAAGCATAGCTCATGCGTAAAATATAAATCCTGTTTTGTGGTAACAAAATTGTCATATTATAAAATTTGGGTAGATTTCCGTTGATGAATGATGAATATAATTATAACATAATTTTTGTGTCAATAAAGTGTCTGACATATTGGACATATTTTACCATCGAAACCATAAAACATTGTCGCGATCGGTTTGGATTGAAATATTACCAATAATGAGACCTGTCAACCTGGACCGCTAAAACATGCTGTGGGACTTTTATATGGAAAATTATGGTGACATACGATTGTGAAATTGTATTGTTTACATTTTATTTTGAATGTAAAACATTTCATGAAATATGTTCTGGTATTTTTATTACAACTTACTTGATAAAAAATTGATTCGTATTTGAATTTTAAAGTGACACAATATTTCGAATTAAGTTTGTCGATTTTAAATGGGAAAACATCAATCGAATTACAGTATTTACTTTTTGAAGTAACCAATCGAGTTTTAACTTCAAAGACAACCACTTCGATACATATACAGCTGTTTAGTTCATATAATAACTACATTATTACAATAGATCTGACAAGAGTTGAAATTTTATGCCCGTTTTCTTAATGTAATTTTGCAAATCACTTTTTAGATTTTAAGAATCAATATTTCACCTTCCCAACATATGAATTTACATATATAAAGGGACTGTTCATTCAAGAAAGTGTGGTGAAAATAAGGACAAGGAGTTCATAGGTGTAAACAATCGGGTTTAATTATGTTATCACCTAAGATGGTTGTGATCAAAGGAGAGTCAGTCAGCGAGTGGGAAATAATAGGGTGGATAGATGACTAATTTTTATTCCGTCTGGTAGATTATTTTAAAATATTAAACACGCATTTTTTATTTTCTTACAGAAACAAATACTTTTCACGATATATCGATTTGAAATATCCCGTGACGTCACTTCTAGGGACGTTTTATACGTAGAAATTACGCTTTAGCTCCTACTACTAAACTTTGATTCGTTTTATCTAAGTATTGCAACCTTATATGACAAATTAAAAAGATACATGTCTAATATTTTTTCCTTACCTAACTGACGGACTAAATAGATTTTTATTTTCATACCCTGTCATCATTCCTATTGTACCTTTCTATTTTAACATTTCTATTAGTTGATTTTCATTGATAGGTAATGTACTAAATCCTAATTTGAGTCTTCTAAAATTAGCTTTAGAGTTGGTTTTTATTTGGATTATATTTTAAATGGTAAGATAGCAATGTATGATGAGTTTAGAAGTTTTTTATTGAAACCTCATGGCATCTTGCGTTTGATGTCGTTTCAGAGACTATTGTTTATCTCAAAAGAGTTCTAAGATCTGTTGTGAAACCAGAGATCAACCAATGCTACTTTTATGTATAAGTTAATTCATTTTACATAGCATACAAGAGGTAAGTATTGTTTAAAAAAGGTTTATTAAAATTAACTGAAAATCGCGGGTTACTCATGTAAAAATATTGAGAACTGCGGTCACGGCGATGTCAGTAGGCGACCGCGCACGCTGCTCATGAGGAAGAACCCCTCTGTGCTTCGAAACTACAGAGCTTTTCTCTGTATATTTACGTGAGTAACCCACGATTTTTAGTATGTCTCACGATAATTATTATGAAAAGGTTTATTAAAACGCTATTACTATTATGTTGGTGGATTAATAAATCATAGTTGGATTTATTTTACTTGGATTTATTATAATAATACCTTATATAATATTTCATAGTAAGGTGGGGCCACTACTTACTAAAATAGTGATGTTAATACATACATATGTAACAATTACAAAGACAGCCAAAAATGTTCGTTAACAAAAATAATTACATACAAATCCCAGTATAAGTGTAGCTTAAATAAATATTAAAACCGACTCGAAACTGCTAGTTTTACCGTCCATCTTTTATTATTAACCAACACTTTACAGCATGGAAGATTTTATTAGACCCATTTTGTAGGGAAAGTTAGAACAATTAAACCCATGTAAAGTAAGCAAGGTTGGTAATTACGTTATAATCACTGGTCAAAATGTTGATAACTGTGGAAACAAGGGTACCGTTGCTTAGTATTACAGTGTAAAACAACTCCCGCGAGGGATTTGCCAAATTCGCAGTACTATTATAATTTATTCGTTGATTTCTGTTCGTTTGTGATATCGTACTCGAGTTAGGTGATATGTCAATATTTGTTTTAAATTACTACATTTTGTTTGAATGATAACTTTGATTGTAATTGGTGTGTTTGTCTTTTATCATGTTTTGTTGGGGTTTCGTATGTTTCATAGGTAACCTAGTGATAAAACGAAAATATCTTTATTAAAATGATTTGGTGCTAAGAACACCATAGTACCGATTTTAATCAGAGTTGAATTTTCCATAATGACTATAACTGTATTATTTTAAATAATTAATATTGTCTAGGTAATCGAAACACTTGTACGATAGTTATCGTTCGAGTATCATTTTCAAAGTCTACTTTGAAATAGGTCTATAAAATTAATAAAATGAAGAGATTACACAGTATTTATTCAATAAAAACGGCAATTACAACCTAACAATGCTCACAATAAAATTTAAAATCGAAGTTGCGTGCAGGAAACAGTTTAAATTATAATTGTTTTAATATCATAATATGCGGTTACATTTAAATATCAACTAAATGCAAATTTGATTTGGTCGGATTTCGCTTGCGTAGAGTTACGGTTTTTGGTTTATAATGAAATCAAATCGCTATTTAACATGGTTTATTAATGAGTTATAGTATTAAATGTACCAAATCTGGTTGTTTACTTTGTGAATTTTTAATGTGCGTACAAATTTGGCGCTTGGTATTAAGTTTATGGGATTTTTAGGTAATTGTGTGATATTTAGATTGTGGTGAAATGAGTCAAATGGAGAATTTGCTGTATTCTTATTGTTTTAACATTTATTTCGGTACTTCAAAACACATGTAAGATAATGCTAAAATAATGCTATGGCTTATTTTTTTTTTAGTAATTTACCAAGTCAATACAACAGCTAACAGCAAGAAATTTTAAACAACAAAACCTCACGTCTTTGCCTTAAGAAATACAAGCTATTAAACTGCACTAGCATTATGCTTAGTGTAAAAGCTCTATGAAAATCTAAACCACTGCAAACTGTTATAATCTGTGTGTAATAAGTACATAAAAGCAACAGAACATCCACTTGATTTAATCCCATAATACTTGCTACAATATTCCGAGCAAGTATGCTAATCTTTGCAGCAACAGCGAAATTAAAACAAGGCAATCATATAGCTATTTAACATTTTTTTTATTATCTCTTTTTGCTAATCGTTCAATTTTATAACATCCCTCTCATTTTCCAGCCAGTTCATGTCAAAAGCAGATATTTTTATATTCGTAAAATTATAATACGTTCATAAATCTACAACATCTGCCCAGTATTTTAAATGGCCAACCTTTTTCTTCGGCCTCTCAGTATTTTGTTCCATATTTTTTTATTAAAAGGCAAAATTAATCGAGAGCCTTTGCAGACATCAAAACAACCGGGGGCCATTGTTAGGTATGATTACAAGAGGTTCAACAAAGTAAATGTTAATTTTTATTATACGAACAAAACACCTTATAATGCCGACCGTAGATTGAAGGGTTTTCAAGTCCGCCACCATAAAATTCATGTCTATATTGATATTAACTTAGGAAAATGTTCTTATTTTGTTCTTAGTGCCGACGCCATGTTTTTTAACAAACTGTCTTGTAATAAAATTCGAAAGTTAATTTGTTTCGGATAAAGAATTTTAATAGTAAGTAGGAGGAATTTCAAGGAAAATTATTTGGAAGTCTAAGAAGTTATTTTTTTCTATTAAACACGAAGTTTTCTATTCAATTAAGAAGTGTTATGAAAATACTTATTTGAAAAACAAATTTTATTGATATAACTTACTTATTTAGGAATGAGGTTTGTTCAGATAAAACATTTATCTCTATTTTATTACGTTCTGTATTTAGAATCACTATAAAATCCACTACTTTATAATGAGAGCAAATTTTCACTCAATTTTCTTTACATTAAATAATAATACGAACAGATTAAAATTAGAGCGTTAATAATAAATAAACGGTACCGCGTAACGCTATAATCCCATTAAATTCTGATAGACTTGATATGCAAATTTCTAATAAAGCAGGTGTTAATTCAAAATTTACGTCTTAACCCGCGAACGCAACCATCCAATCAGAATGCTTCATTTATTTTCTTACAATGGAACACAAATGAATGAACTCAATTTAAACCGAATGCAATTAATAGGCCACGAATAATGGCGCTTGTGATTTATCAGTAATAGCTACTATTCTGATTGACGTTTTTAATTTGCCACCAGGGGGCGTGGAAGTGAAGGGTTGAAGTCTAGAAGGCGCCTTCGCTGTCAGGCGGAGACAGGAGATGGCCAAGTCCTCGGGGTATAAGGTTCTGTGTTTAAGTTAATAGTTTCGTGGTCTTCATGTTAGCAGTTCGCGTTAGAGGGTTAAAATTTATGAGGTATTTGCTTTGATTCGCACTGGGATTTTTCAATGTGTATTTTACTAGGTTACTTTTTTCGTTTTATTTGTTTTTAGTGTTAAGTTCAAGTTTATATAAAGAATTAAGTACAATTCTGTGAATTTACGACAGTTATCTACTTTTTGACGACTTCAAAAAAAGGAGGAGGTACTATGTCAGCTGATTGTTTTTTTTTTCTAAAGCTTATATTATAATGATATAACGTAATGACCACAAAATTGTAAATTAGGTATCTATAAAGGTTTTAATGAATAATTTTGTATAGAGCTTATGGCGCCGACTTCTAACCTATCAGTGGGTAGGAAAAACCTATCACTACTAATAATAATCATTATTTTTTGCTTTTTAGTTTTTACCGTATCTTATTATTTTGTCGGTTTTTTGAAGTCGGTTATTTAATCTTTAGTCTTAAGTATTGTCTTAAAAAAAATATAATACTTAAGTTAATTTTAGTCTAGAGGCAAATATTTAAGCAATTCAAATAAGGCCTTAATAGTTTTCCGATATCTAATTAATTGTAGCCGTGATATTATTGGTGGTCTCGTTATTTACCTTAATATGAATGAACATTTAGAATCACCCTCATTACCTACATTACTGGAATGATTGCAGTATTCAAACGTTTAGCAAACAATGGCACTAATTAGAGAAATTATCATGGACATACAACACTGTTTGCATTGCGCTGTCAATTTTATTTAACATGCCTCTGCTGATCAGAGCCTCAGTACCGCCGCCATTTTCATTAGCATTCATCTCTAAAACCGTTAGGGTGTTTAAAAAACGAACTAGAAACAACATTCTGTTCTTGATATGTATCTCTAAGTCCGTAACTAAAAGTTTATGTAACATAATCCATTAAACATTCAAATAACACGTCAAACATTATAATAGTAGACCTTACTACATGTAGGCCCAAATTACGATCCTAATGTTTTGCATATGAGCCGGTGATACTAATAATGAACGGGATAATAATATGGGAAAACGTTAATTAAGTATGTAAATGCGGGAAGATCTAAATGATCGGCCACGAGCCTTGCAAATTACTTTTGTGGAACACCCACTAAGTGAGTGTTGGACTCGCCACGACACCGACTTACTCGTGTCCAAACGAAAATACACCCCAAACCGGCCCATGTTACGTGCCATTCTGGATTCTAACACTTCAGTTTTAGAGTCTAAATTTGATTGATTTATAAGGATCGTGTCGGTTGTTGTTCGTTTAGCGGCAGTCAATTATAACCTTCTATTCGATTTGATGCCCGTTTGGTCCCTTGGGCAGCTCACTGCTCGCTTTGGCCAGCAAAGTTTAAATTAATTCTCGATTGACACATCAGAATCTATCCAATATTGTGATTTTAAAATACATTTAGAACCCTTTTCACAGTAAATAAAATCTAAATGTTTGGGTTTTCCAAATAACTGTTAATTAGAATTTAAATGTGGAATGTGCTTATTGCGTTGGTAACGTTTCATGTAATGGTGCCCACATAACTCATTGATATGAAAATGAAAATCTAGGTTTTGTACTGGGAAAATTTAAAAGTTTGCACGTAGTTTAATACTGAAATTTAAATCATTTTGTTGTATGTCTATGCGTCTGTGTAAGTAGCATTACTGTGTGAAAAATATCCAACAAAATGCTACAATTCTTTTCCTCAATACCCTCATAATTTAAAAAAATTAATTTTTGTCCACTATGTAATTGTTGTTTAATTTTTGTACGAGAATGTACATATGTCCGTATGTATGTACATTTCTCGTAGGCAGTAATATTTTTGTCTGGTTGTGGACGTGCACCGTGGAGCAAGACAAACGTATAAATCTGTTCGCCGCACACATTCGTTGCGTGCTTCACTCTACCTCGGATTTATGGGCCTCGCCCTTACGGCTCCATCAAAACTTCCAAAATACACCGTCTTGCAATAAAACGTATAAATATTATTACAAGAATTACAGCCCTCTTTCTCAAAATGCTTCATATCAACATTTATTTTACCATTTTATAAATAAAACACGCTCTCTAGGTATTTGGATTGCAACATAAAAAAAATACAAAACAATACAGTACGAATATCGCTGAGTACTACATTATTTTCCAGCTTTAAAAGCACAACGAAAATATTTTAATGGCAACCCAATTTATACGGCGGACAGTTCGAATAAATATTTAAATTATCAATACTGGCCGGTAGTCCTGAAACATTCCCTATTCAAATACTTTGTTTGCTGTTTTAAAATTAGAACAAGTTCGGGTTCCATTTTTGATATGAAGGGACTTTAGTTTGGTTACCAAACGATAGGTACTCGATGTAAAGCTGTCCTATGTGTTTTTTATGCAAATTTCCATTTGGGCGGCTGATATTCGCAAGCCAGTGAGTAAATTCGCACTGAATCGCGTGTGACATTTAATTGACAAGTGAATAAAATGTGATGCGCTGTTGTTGGAACATTGCGCCGTGTCCAACGTGTGCCCCGAACATCTGTCAGCAAAATAAACTTAAAACAAATATAAATTGGTCACCTAAAGGGCGGTTCATCGGCGGTCGCGTTCGACGGAATCTAGTTAATTAAAATTGTTTTAATAAACTGTATGTTTAAAAGAGATTAATATTCTGCGGTTATTGAATCAATGTTTTTGCTGCGTATTAACTACAACCTCAAAATATTAAACAAACGAACTCGTACGTGTGTTGTTTGTTGTTGTTTATCATTATAATTGGTTCGCATTATTGGCAGATAATAATTCATTTTATCTCTTTCTTTCATTTTGAATCATTCATTGTACAATCTGTAACTCATCTAGTGAATAGAGAATTAAACCGTTAACCGTGTTTATCAAAAAATAGTATTCGATTTTCAAATCGTCCAACGGTATCAATTTCGTACCGAAGTCAAAACAAATTTTCGGTGGAAAAATGGCTAAAATCGAATTCGGCTGAACCGTGGAGTTGTTATACAATGGGTCTATTTTTTATATGTCCAATCGAGGCTAGGATTGGTTAGATACGTGCACAAGTAAAGTATAGAGGGTACAGTTAGATGCAGAGCGTAAACCAGAGTCATGATAATTACGAGTCTGGCTCATCCCGCACACCTGTTGCCTACAACGACTTTAACTAAAATTTAGTAGCATACGTGTTCAAGCCGTACGCGCCGCTTGTATATAATTTTCGAGCGGTTAAGTAATATTACGCGTTGGGTACATGTACTGAAGAGTTAACGTTGTTTTTAGTAGAGTTTAGTTGTAAGATATCACTTTAATGGTTAAGTTACGACTTGTTTGGTTGGACTTGATTTTCCCATTGTTTAGTATGCGCCTCTAAGGACGTGTATTTTGTAGTGGTTCTTATCGCTTTGTTGTTAAGATTCATTGCTTATTACAACTACAAATATGTTTACTGTACAGCGTTTTTAGTTTATATTCCACTAAATTATTATAAAATCCATCAGAAAATGTGAAAGTAAATATGCGAGACATCATCTTCTATATCAAATCATTTCTCGGTAAATTTTAACGAAATGGAACACAACTTCTATCTGAAATTAAAATGTATGCTTGTGGAAAAATACAGATGCGAATATCAGAATTCCTATGTGATATTTCTCGATTCCGATGAAAATATATCGTGTGGCTTGGATATCGTAGTGAAAGGTAACGAGCGGGTTGCATCGACGTATCGAGATCTGTCGACAACCCGAGGTACGGCGGTGGAGTACGAATTTGTCTTGCCCGGGGTGCATTGCGTTATATTCCCGGGTAGTTTACACTGACACGCTTATGAAACGACCAGCGCCCGAACTGCCGACACTAAAACTTTCAGTGGATTGTTACATTCGAGCCAACTAAATAAAAGCTATAGGTTTTCACCCGGCCTTTTCATGGGCGTCGCCTTTACGCCGATTTTATGTAGCATGAGCAAAATACAGCTGTAATTCCAACACGGGAAAATGTATATTACTCCGAATCCTTAGTAGAATCTGACAATGCGGGGATTTTTCGAGAGAGCCTCGAGCTAGGTGAGGGTAGGCGCGACTCGAGTTTGTTACATAAAAATCCCGTTATCGCGACGTAGGTCGACAGATTACTTTCTTGTTAAGAGGATGAAAACAAGAGTTAGTTCGTTTTCTACAAGGAAATAAATATGAACTTTTTTAGGGTACTTTCTTTTTATAACGGTACGAACATTTTAGCTGCCTTTTATTACACTATTTCAGAATAAACGG